TAGAGTATGCGTTAGTACGTTTGAATGTACTAAGTATATGGGATGAAATGCAATGCTACAATAGATGGACATCATAGGAAAAATGCATAATCATACCCGATAGATAGCATATTAAAGAAATGATATGTATAATGATGCTTACATAAACATCATATTTAGTGGGACGTAGTACATGTGTGGTGAGTGACCATCAATATAGTATTTTCCAAGGCCTACCACCCCCTTGGAGAGGCGAAAGAGGTACAAACCCCTCAATGTGGTTACCCGGGCCTACCACCCCCCGAGCTAGGGACCAAGGTACAAACCCCTCGATGTGGTTATACGGGCCTACTACCCCCCGTACTAGGCAACCAAGGTACCAACCCCTTGATACGGTTACCCGGGCCTACAACCCCCCGAGCTAGGCTTGGTCGATTCACAACACTTATATAGAGAAAATCATATACATGTATCCATTTCATCATCATTTCAATGATTATATGACCATCCGACTCATAGGACGTACATTGGACATTCCATTTCCTAAGAATTCTATCAATGGCATTTTATCAAACACATGGTGGGCTATTGTTCATGTAGATAAAATTATGTCTTTCAAGAGTACTAAGTCCAACCAATTCTGAAATACATATAAATCAGCCCACCAACAACATACATATATATGTCAACCTTCATAATTTGATCATGGAAGCATGAAAACCATAAACATCACATAATAACTCCATTTCATGATAATATGCAAAAATAGACCATAATAGAATGTGTAGTAGTAATTCCATAATTCAAGAGTTCATAAATGATCATAAGGACCCATAAACTTGAAGTAAAATAGAGGATAAATGGTTGGACTTGTGGAAAGGAAGGTTTCCACAATCAACCCACATACCTCAACTTTGGAGAATCCTTGATGAAGATTGGAATGGAGAATTGAAGCTTGAGATTGAGTCTTGAATCCGGAATTAGAGCTTGAGATCTTTGAATTTGGTTGAAGATCTTGGTGAAATTTTGAAGAGGGCTTAGAGAGTGTTTTTGAGTGTTTTGAAGCTAGAAAGAAATATAACTAAGTATGGGACATATCCTTTTTTTATAAAAGAAAAACGTCCCCAGCCCGCTACAGTAACTTAGCTCTCTGGAAATTGCAATTCTGCCCGGACAGGTTTTACGAAAATGATCATAACTCCTTCATCCTAACTCGGAATGAGGTGAAACCAATTGCATTGGAAATCTAACTCAAAGGGCTTTAATTTAATAGGTGGTGGACCTTCCAGTTCCTTGTGTGCTAAGAGATATGCCCCTTTAAAGTTGACCCTCCAAATCGCAATTTTTGCGATTTTCGAATTTTGATATGGTTGCTCTAAAATTCGGGTTAGACCCATTTCCCACTCAATTTGACCCCCTGAATAAGAATATGAAGTCGAATTTCTGAAATCATGCACGGATTTTGAGATATATGGAAATTACAATTATAGGTGTTTCCGAAGCACATTTTCGGGCATTTTTGGGGTCGTTTCACCACATATACTAACGTATGAGTATCCATCCCAACCTAACATTCATTCATTGGAAAGCTCATAGATTCAAAGATGAGAATAGCCTTTCACCTAAGAATCCCATTTTAGTGAGAAAGTCCTTTTACAACATGTCTTTTCATTCATTAGAGTACAATTAAGAATAGCCTTTTAATAGACTCAACATTCATTAACATTATCATTAAACTTCATTCATTCATTCATGTGTGTGTTTATGTGAGAATAGCCTTTCATAAAATCACCATCATTCACAAGTGTTAATAGAGAGCTAACATTCAATCCTAACACAATTAGCTTCTAAACAAAGATCATAATTCATTCATTTAGATCAAACACGTGCTTCACATCACATTCATATATACAAAATCATGGTAATACTTCAATTACTCACACTATGCCTTCAACGCTATGATCACAATGTACATAGTAAGTAAACACATCCACCTTTCAAGTGGATCAACAATTCAAGCACAATTCTACTTTAACATGAAATTAGGTCAAACTTGCCTTTTCAAGGGTATGATCGCAAATCCTAAATTCACCAACAATTCACCATAATTAGGCATAGATGATGATACAATTCAATAATCTAAATCAATTTAGACATAATTCATCTACATTCTTTCATGATCAACAAAGCCACTTCATAAGACACAATTTAGAAATTGAAAGGAATCATGGGTTCATAGAGTAAAATCATAAATTAAACATCAATATAATCATAATTTGACATTAATAAACCTTTAAATTGTTTGATGAAAGAATCCATGAGATTGAGTGAAACCCTTGTCTTTTTCATGAATTTGAAAACTTTGAAACCTTCTTTGAAATTGACTCTTGGGTGAAAACTAACTCTAGATGAAGGATCAACATACCTTATTAGATTAATTCCCACAAAAATCTACCTAATTTAGCCTTCCTCTTCAAGCCCTAAGTCTTCTTCTTCTCTTGGTCTTCAATGGAGTTCTTAGAGAGAAGATATTTTGAGAGAGAGGGTTTTGATTTGGGGAAAATTGAATAATAAAATATAAATTAGCATTTTAATGTTTTAATACTCTTAAAATAGCTAAATAAAACCAAAATAACCGTCCAAACACTTATTGGGACTTTGGGTGAATTTACCAATTCACCCCTAGCTTGGCCGTGTCAATTGACAGCACACAGGTGCCATCCACGAGCCCTTGACTCATGGGCCGTGATTCTATTCATGGACCATCATGTTGGTCAGTAGTCTGGGGTTGTGGCTTGGTTTGGGGCCCCTTGACCTATGGAGGCCATCCACAGGGTGTGGATGGACCTACAGGGCGTGGACCCTTTTCATAGGTCACCCCACTTTGGCCAACTTTCTAGTTTCAAGGGGTTTTGGGGGGTTAGACCTAGGGTCCTATAGGTCCTTGGGGAGTTTTACCTTGACATTGGATCCCTAAACCCCTCAACCAAAGCTCGGGACAACATACAACAACATGAAACCTCAACCCAAACTCAAATGCACACACGTTAGGCTATAGTTCACTAGTTCATTTTTAGGGTCGTTACAGATTGAGATCAAGTATATATGATGAGTTATGACTAGGATTCCTTGAGAGTAAAGCTTATATTATAATTTTTTATTGGTAGGTAGAATTGTTGTGGATGCATTTACCTTCATGATCTATTCTACTAATGTATGAGGTGATTGAATCACTTGAATTATAATGATATCCATGTCCATTGCTTTAATTCTAGATGTGTGGATTGAAATTAAGTTTTGAACCTCAAGAAGGTTAAGTCTAAGATTGTGATTTTTCTATAATACATATGCAATTGTATTAATGATGCTTTGAGAGTAGAGTATAAAGAATGTTTATATTGATGTTCTGTTGATTGAAAGGCTATTCTCATGAACACAAATGTGAAAGGTTTGCTCACATAGAATGATTCTAGGTTGAAAGGTTAGCTCACCTAAAATGAATCTATGTAAAAGGACTGTGAGATGACATGAGGCTTAAGGTGATTCCCTGAGACCTTCATATGAGAGAGATGTGAGGTGAGATCCCATATTCCTAAATTAGTAAACAAGAGTTAATAAACATAAGGGGATTACCCATGACATGTGATGAGGAGTGTTAGGCTCTATTCTTAATATATAACTCCTAAATCAAGGCAAGAGGTGAATATCCATTATCATTTATTGTTGATCATGGAGGCGAATACCTATGATCCTTATGAAATGATATGGAGGCGAATACCTATATCATATGATGATGGACATGGAAGTGAATACCTATGATCCTTATTAAATGATGTGGAGGCAAATACCTATATCATATAATGGTGAGGCATGGAGGTGAATACCTATGATTCCCTAAAATGATCTTGTAGGTGAATACTTATGACTATACAACTAAAGCAAGAGGTGAATACCCATTAGCCTTCATAATAGGCATAGAGAGGTAAACCTCCATGCCTTGAAAAGTACAACAAGAATGATGTGAATGAATTGTTTGGATTGTTGCTAGAATGGCCTTCTATGAGATGTATGACTAGAGGTGAATCCCCATGTTTGTAAAAGGTAAGTTAAAGATGAGAATGATAGATGATGAATTTGACTGGTGGCTTAAGGTTTCCTACATTGATGAGTAAGACTAGTGAAAGATTATACATGTCTTGGCTAAGTATGACTTGAGGTTACTTAGTGGAGTATTTCTTATGTTATGATGACGTATGTACATTGACTACACTTATGACTTATGTTATTACCTCTCATGCTTATAGCCTATGTCTTATGTTGTATCTCTTATGTTCATGGATTGTGTCTAATGTTGACTAATGCTTATGTTATGCCTATGTTGATGATTTATGCTAGCCATCATATTTAGTACATGTTTGTACTAACGCATACTTTTTCCTACATTATTATCAAATGTAGGGTCCGGTGATATTGACTTCCATACCCGTGGCTAGGCTCTTAGTAGATCAAGAAAGTGAAAATTTGGTGAGTCCTCATAGCATCGAGGATTTGACCACCTTTCCTTTATGCCTTTCTTATATGTTTAGAACTATTGTATGGGATGTGTCCCAAGATGTTCACGCTATAGATGGTTTGAGATAAATGTAATAGACTTTTGCTTCGTTTTATGAAACTTTGATGTTACGAAAAATGTTTTAAATTTCCACTCATTTCTATTATCTTATGTTATGATATGCTACGTTGGCTTCTATGAGGCCTCTCGGGGGTCTTATACGCCTTATTAAATCAAGGGGGTACCCCTGGTTCGTGACAAACTTGGTAATCAGAGCACAAGTTCAGAATGATTCTAGGATGTCTCAAAACCACGTCGTAGAGTCTTGTTCATGAATGTGAAGCTACATTTATGAATGAGAGGCTACTAGATGCTTAGTAAACTTCAATCCTTGATTACTCTAAGTTGTGCCATAGATTTTAACTCTATAAGGTCTTTCTCCTAATCCTTACTCGGTGGTCTACAGGATATGACTACTACATGGGCTAATGCTAGAAGGAATGAGGAAGACAATGTGGAGCAAGAAGTTCCTCTCCAATCCCCTCCTCAAGCTCTGATTGATCCTTTAGGTGAGAATAATACAAATACGGAGTTAAGGATGGATTTTCAAGTGTTGGCTCAAGCCATGACAGCCCAAGCGAATAGAGAGATGGTAGTCCATGTGAACCCAAATGTGGGTACGACAACATCAAGAGTGAGGGATTTAATAAGGATGAACCCTCGGGAATTTTATGGCTCCAAAGTGGAAGAGAATCCTTCAAGGCTTATCGACGAGCTCTATAAGGTACTTGCTATTATAGGGGTGACTCTGGAGAAGAAGGCGGAGTTAGCTGCTTACCAATTGAAAGATGTTACTCAAGTGTGGTATGATCAATGGAAGGGAGAAAGACCAATAAAAGTGGAACCCGTAGAGTGGGAATTTTTTAAATCAGCGTTTCTTGATAGGCTCTTTCCCCTTGAGTTGAGGGAAGCAAAGGTGCAAGATTTCACTAACCTTCGTGAAGAAAGTATGAGTGTGAAGGAGTACGCCTTAAAGTTCACTCAATTGTGTAAGTATGCTCCAACGATGGTGGCGGATTCTAGGTCTAAGATGAATAAGTTTGTGACAGGCATATTCGATATGGTGGCTAAAGAGTGTCGTACCGCCATACTCATTTGTGACATGGACATCTCTCATCCTATGGTCCATGCACAACAAATGGACGAGGGGAAACTCAAGGAAAAGTCTAGGGAAAAAAAGAGGTCTATAATGGAAGATGATAATCCCTCTCATGCAAGGTCTGATGGACATGGAATCCCTAGTTATAGACGAGAATTCCCAGGGCAAGGTTCATCAAATACTCTAAAGTTTAACCAAGAAAGGGTGTCTAACCCTAAGCCTCAAGGAGATAGTAGTGGGGTCCTATTGCCAGGATGTAGTAAGTGTGATAGAAGACATGCGGGTGATTGTCTAGCGGGTTCTAATGTTTGTTTTGGTTGTGGTAAGTTGGGCCACAAGATAAGGCATTGCCCCACAGTTGCTAGAAATGAAGGAGATAGTCATCATAGGTCTCAACCTACCCTTCATCCAGTGCAATTGGTTCGGGTGCAAATACTCTAAAGCAGATTAGGTTATATGCACTCCAAGCTAGAGGTGAACAAAGGTGTCCTTCGGATGTGGCTATCGATATGTGTTTTGTGTTTTATTATATTTCGGTGTAGCTTTGTCTTTTGTGACTTGATAGACTTGATATGCTAGGTATTGATGTTTTGATCCGGCCTTAGTTGAATTGAAAGAAATGGTGCTTAGAAAATCCATCTAGTCTTGCTCCCAAAGGGGAGATGATGTGCTTAGATAGCAAGGTCGTTGAGTGTTCCTAATGTTATGATTTGGAGTTTACTTGAATTTATCACCTTAAAAGGTAGAAGGAGTTTGGGAAGTTTAGTTACCATTTTGTAGGCCCATATGAGATCTTGAGATGTGTTGGTAAGGTTGTTTATGAGTTAGAATTGCCGAATGAGTTGGCATCGGTGTATTCGGTTTTCCATGTATCTATGATTAAGATGTTTGTTGGAGATCCGGCATCTATAAGTCCCCTCAAAAGGGTTGAGAGTTAATGAGAATCTCTATTATGAAGAAGTACCGGTTGAGATCTTAATACGACAAGTTAAGAAGTTAAGGAACAAGGAAGTAACTTTTGTGAGAATGTTATCGAGGGATCTTTTAGTGAGGGTTTTAGTTGAGAGTGCTACTTGGGAGGTCGAGGCTAATAAGATGTCCCGATATCCTCATCATTTTTCCTTCTACTCCTCCTTTAGCTTGAGATGATAAGTTCCTCTTGGTTGTATTATGTTTTGGAGTCATGTGTGTTTATGTGTTGCCATGATTTACTTATGTTGCGCATGTTCATGAAAAACATGTTTTTTGAAGAAGATGAGTGTATATGATTGTTTCCTCGTATTGTAGTGCATTGAGTATGAGTTGCCTATAGACTTCATGAGATGTATTGGTGAACATGTCGTAACTTGGAGTTGAGAGAACTCCTCCTTGAAGTATGCTTTGAGTATAGATTGCATATAGGCTCCATGAGATTGTGTTGAGCATGTATTTAGTAGGGAGAAGGTAATTCCTCCTTGAACATGAGAAATGTTAAAATTTCATGCATTTTGGGTTGCTAGATGTAGTTCCTACCTTCCTAGAGAAGCATTGAGCATGTTAGAGTATGGAGTTGATCTTTCCTCCTTAGTTGTGTGCATTTAGATGAGTTGCATGCATGATGGGCTGCTATTCAAGAGTCATGTCCTTTAAGAGATGCCTAGAACATCATTCGAGGACAAATGTCCCCAGAGGGAGATATTGAAAAACCATGTAGCCTAGTAGGCCAACTAGGACTAAGTATGAGGGAAACTAGCCAAGACTAGAGGGCAAGAATAAAGGCAAAAGGGCAAGGGCCAAGGATGCCCAAGGTTGCCAAGACACTTCCCTCCACCACGGAAGCCTAGAGGCTCGTGGTGGTGAGGCAGTAGCTCACCAAGGCTACCTCAAGTTGAGCTCACCAAGGCTGCCTCAAGTTGAGCTCACCAAGGCTGCCTCAAGTTGAGCTCACCTTCACGAGCAACTTCACGGTTAGTGGTGAAGACCACAGCTTGTGGGAAGGCTCGTGGTGATGCCTTCAACTTTTGGAGGCCAAGCCAAGGTGGCCTAGCCATTGGTCAAGGGACCACGGGGACTTTAAAGGGTCGTGTGACCCTTGACGGGTCGTGGGGTGGTCGTGATACCTGGGCACTAGGATGCCTAGTGAAGGCTATTTTAGGAAATTCTAATTCAAGTTAGATTTAAGTGAGGTCCTTTTGCCTAGACTTAGTACTCCTATAAACTATTTTTACCCTTTAAACTCACCAATTAAGTCATTATTTCCAAAACCACAAAAGAATCCCCAAGTTCATCCTCTCAAATATTTTTCTCTCTAGAACTTGACGAAGAAGAAAGAGTTGGAGCTAGGATCAAGAACAAGTATCCATTCCTCAAGAATTTGTGGGCTTTGTGGTCAAGGTATTATGGCTTTTCATCCATGGAGCCTCCATGTTTTCCCCAATTTAGAAGAAGAATTCCCCAATTTGAGTTAGGGTTTCTTCCAATGTTGTGGGTATTGTTGAATGTTGATCCAATTAAGTAAATTATGATTGTTTAAGCTTGAATTGAGTAGATTCAATGATATTAGGATGGATTTACATGTACTCATGCCTAACCCATGTCTATAAATATGTAATTGATGCAAATGAGTTTTATTCTATGAAAGGGAAAATTGAAGATTTAGATGTAATCTTCTAGAATTGATGAAATACATGGTAGGTGTCTTGAGAGTTAAGCATATAGACATGAATTGAAAAATATTTAGGCATGCAAGATGAATCATGATCTGTAGTGCTTGAGATTGGGAGGCTATACAATGAAATATAATTAAACTGCTTAAGGTTGAAGCATTTAGATGTGAATTGCTTAAGAGTAAAGTATATGAACATGAATTAATTGAGATCAAGTATATATAATGAGTTATGACTAGGATGGCTTGAGAGTAAATCTTATATCATAATTGTTGATTGGTAGATAGAATTGTTGTGGAAGGATTTACCTAGTTGATCTACTCTACTAATGCATGAGGTGATTGAATCACTTGAATTATAATGATATCCATGTCTAATTCTTGAATTCTAGATGTGTGGATTGAATGTAAGTTTTGAACCTCAAGGAGGTAAAGTATAAGATTATGTATATGCTATAATACCTATGCAATTGTCTTGATGATGCTTCGAGAGTAGAGTATCAAGAATGCTCATATTGTTGTTCTACTGATTGAAAGGCTATTATCATGAACATATAATGAACATAAATGTGAAAGGTTTGCTCAGATAGAATGATTCTAGGTTGAAAGGCTTGCTGACCTAAAATGATTCATAAGTAAAAGGACTATGAGACGAGATGAGGCTTGAGGTGATTCCCCAAGACCTTCATATGAGAGAGATGTGAGGTGAGCTCACATATTCCTAAATTAGTAAAGAAGAATTAATAAACATGAGGCTATTACCCAAGTCATGAGATTATTAACATGAGGTGATTACCCATGTCATCTGATGAGGAGTGTGAGGTGACTACCCTTAATATATAACTCATAAAGCAAAGCAAGAGGTGAATACCCATTAGCCTTCATAATAGGCATAGAAATGTGAACCCTTATACCTTGAAAAGTAAAGCAAGAATAATGTGAATGATGTCATGATGAATGAATTGCTTAGATTGTTGCTAGAATGGCCTTCGATGAAATGTATGACAAGAGGTAAATCCCCATTTCTATAAAATGTAAGATAAAGATGAGAATGATAAATGATGAGTTTGAGTGGTGGCTTAACGTTGCCTACATTGATGAGTAAGACTAGTGAAAGAATATACATGTCTTGGCTAAGTATGACTTGAGGTTACTTTGTGGAGTATGTCTTATGTTATGATGGTGTATGTACATTGACTATGCTTATAACTTATGTTATTACCTCTCATGCTTATAACCTATGTCTTGTGTTGTATCTCTTACGTTCGTGGATTATGTCTTATGTTGACTAATGCTTATGTTATGCCTATATTGATGATTTATGTTAGCCATCATATTTAGTACATGTTTGTACTAACACATACTTTTGCCTACATTCTTATCAAATATAGGGTTCGGCGATATTGACTTCCATCCCCGTGTTTAGGTTTTTAGTAGAGCAAGCAAGTGAAGATTTGGTGAGTCCTCATAGCATCGAGGATTTGACCACCTTTCATTTATGCCTTTCTTTTGTGTTTAGAACTATTGTATGGGATGTGTCCCAAGACGTCCATGCTATAGATGGTTTGAGACAAGTGTAATAGACTTCCGCTTCGTTTTATGAAACTTTGATGTTAGAAAAAATGTTTTAAATTTCTGCTCATTTCTATTATTTTATGTTATGATATGCTAAGTTGGCTTGTATGAGGCCTCTCAGGGTCTTGTACACCTTGTTACATCTAGGGGTACCCATGGGTCATGACATAAAGAATGTAGGCAAGAGTATGCATTAGTACAATAATGTGCCAAGTATGATAGAAATGCATAAGACGTATGAAATCATTCTAAAAATGACCTTTTCATGACACACAATAACCAAGTTGAAACATAAGATAAAAAGGGTTAGAAAACATGAATCTTAAAACATGGTCAATGCAAGATACTTATCTTTAAAACATTTGTGAGATACTTCTAAGAGTAACCTTAGTTCATTATTGTTGGAAATATACCTTTAACCGACATAGAGACCATGTGAGTTATAAATATGGAATTTGGTTTCTACTCCACACCGAAAAGGGGTGTCCTACTTGCCAAGGTAAGACCATGAACTTCTAGCTTAGGTGGATCCACTAGCTAATTTCTATGTATGAAAACATCCTATGGTTGCACATAGTTATCAGATAAGGAGATTGCTTCTAGAAACCCAGCCTATACTAGTGGGAGAGCTTCCATCTCAATTTCCTCTCGGTGCTAAGAGTAAATCCCATAGAATAGTCATTATTATCAACTTGTCTTATTATCCATGGAATGTCACGACCCAATTTCTTGAGTCATAACGGCACCTACTATAACCCACCAGTAGGTAAGCCAACCCGTAACCCGGAACAACAAGTAATGGGTCTGAGGATAAAAACTAAACAAGAGTAGGCAAAATTTAAGATAACAATATAAACAGGCGGAAGCAAACCAAAACATATATACAAATAAAGATCCCTCCCATAACCTGGAAGTCACTAGTACAGAGCTACTAACAAAACGAGTACAAGTCCCAAAAGTGGACCACAAAGACTGGACTGTCTCGAAAGGTAAACACAAATCTATATATACAGATGGAGACTGAAATAGTACAAAACGATGTGTGCTCACCCCCGTCTCTAGATCAGACTACTCCAAACTGGATCAATACTGGCCACTAGTGCTCGGACCTGCATCACGAAAACAGATGCAGAGCGTAGCATGAGTACCAAAACAACAGGTACCCAATAGGGCATCATAGGCCGACTGAGCTTGAAGAGTAAAGGCAATATGAAAAGAAGGA